ATAGATAGCTTCCTAGTTAGGCTATAGGTATGGCAGCTAGTGTAGAACCTTCGGGCGGACTACTTAAATTAGATAACTAAAAGTTGTACGTGTGGCTAGTTGTACTCTTGTAATACTGATGTAACATGTGGTCAAGTCTTCAGACATATGGCCAACCGCTTGTACTAATAAAGTGCCAAGGGCCCAAGTAGTCACCTTAACATTTAAAAAAAAAAAAAAAAAAAAAAAAAGAATATAAATTTATGTAATTTTGTATTTACTTGTATATAATTTACTCAAATAATTTAATAAAATTTTATATGTAAAAAATCAAAAAAAATTAAATTTCCATCGATAAAATAGTATCATTATTTTTAACAATTTTAAAGTAAACAATATTTTGAGTTAAAGCAAAACAATTTAATCCATCATTATCTCTGTTTAAATTAGATTCTTTAAAATTTTCTTGACTTTCGGTTTGGTAAAAACATTAATATCCATCTGTATTAATAACACCATCTTGGAAGATATAGACTCTTCTTGTATATTTATTTGTTATTTTAATAAAGAATTCAAATCCTTAACCTTTGATATTGTATTTTAATTCCATGCTAAAGAATTTGTCGTTAATACCATTTTATTTTAAATAACTTTTAATATTGAAAATACCTTTGTGAAAAATACAAATTTTCGAATAAATTCATTTTTTTATCTTATTTAATTTAGAAGAATCTTTCTTATTGTAAATTGTAAATAAACTTGTGGATGAAATATCAGACTATCTAAATCTCAATTTTTAGCCTTTTTGACTAAATATTCGTAGATATGGGACACGATGTGGTTGGCCAGAACCGAACGTTTGAGTGCAAAAAAGTGAATCAGATTCAGATTCTTGCATTCAGAGCCGAACATTTGAGTACAAAAAAGTGAATCAGATTCAGATTCTTGCATTCAGAGCCAAACATTTGAGTGTAAAAAAGTGAATTGGATTCAGATTCTTGCATTCAGAGCCGAACATTTGAGTGCAAAAAAGTGAATTGGATTCAGATTCTTGCATTCAGAGCCGAACATTTGAGTGCAAAAAAGTGAATCGGATTCAGATTCTTGCATTAGAAGATTTGCGGGGACACGATGTAATTGGCCAGAGCCGATCGCGTTTTTGCGATATTTCATGATTATATTACTCTTAAAATTAAATTTGGCAATCACATTACTTTAAGATGAATGAAAATAGATTTAGATTGAGAATGAATCAAGCAATTTTGTCTTTATTTAAAATAAATTTTAAATAAACATGTTATGATAATTATATACATCATAATAGAATTTTCGTAATCTTTCAAAATTGTTAATAACAAAACTATTATCAAAGAGAAAACAATAATATACATCTTTTCGTCTTTTCTTTCCTATAATTATAAAAAAATTAATTATCATAATTTTTTATTTATCATTATATAATTTTTATTAAATAGTAATGATTACATATTAATTAATAATCATTTTTTAATATTCTTAAAGCATTGACATTTTACCCTAATACATTCTAATTTATTTTTTCTATTTACACTAATTCTATCACAATCGGGCCAAATTTGAAAAATGCTTTTGGTTACAAAATAGACCAAAATAAGTAATTCGACATTATCCAATTCGTAAAAAATCGATATTACTAAGTTTGGTAATAAAAATTTTTCTATTTTAAGTTAGTAAATATTAAAGTATGAGTGCGAATAAAAATATATAAACTCATGTATTTGTTTGAGAAATATTTATTGAAACATGGCTATGATAATTGATGTTTGAAAAAAAAATTTATTTCCAAAAAGACTTCCTTACAAACATAAAGAGTGTGCAAAGCATGAAATTCGAAAATATTTCATAGAAAGAATTTCACAACAATATTCAGAAACTATAGATGAAACTATAGATGAATATGAAAAAATAAAGTTAGTTTGCACTCTTTGTAATCATAAATATAAAAAAGATGCTTCTTTTTCAAGTTTAAAAAATCATTTTAAAACAAAACATCAAGAAGAGTTTTCTAAAGTTCCAGAGTTTTATTCACTATTTAAGCAGATTATTAATTGATGCTTAAATTCAAATATTGAGGAAGATAGTATTATATATAATAGGAGCGAAAAGAGATGGATAGTTACATATGATGATGGAAAAAAGGCATATTTTAAGACTAAAAAAGAAGCATTTTTTTCAAAATTCAAATGGTTAGAAAAATATAATAAATAATGTTAAGACGTTATATGTAGACCTTATTTCTTTAAGATAGTAAAATGTATTAAATATATTTTAAAATAAAATATCATTTATGCATTTATTTAGTAATTAGAAAAGCGAGATGATTTTGATTATTTGTATTTAGAAAATGTACAATTCCAATTATAGTAATTAAATTTTTACTATTTTAAGTTAGTGAGTATTAGATTACAACTTTATAAATGATGTGTATACTAAATACACATGTTGATAAAAAAAAGATTAGTAATAAAAACTATATAAAGTCTGTAATTTCTCTTGAGTGAAAAATAAATGGGGAAAGATCATAGATTTCACCAAATCATGGCCACAGTATTCTACTGTATTCCATGTGTAAATAGATTTAAATGTAAGAAAAATTTTATTAAGAAGGATAAACGTATTCGCGAAGAGCAGTTTTCGAAAACTGGTAAGGTTCCTTTATGTGCTAAATGCCAAAATAATCATTGGCATTGTAGAGATAATAATTGCGAAAATTGTTGTAAATTACATTAGTGTAATGACCTTGTTTGTTCTTCATGCTGCGAATATGGTATTGAGTATAAACTGTTCTTCCATGAACTCAAGAAGAATATGTGCGATTGCAAGCAAAGGGTGTCATATATTCAACTAGTCAGCCGGAGTCAACTAATAAAGGGCAGTTTCACGAACAATGCTTTTTTCAATTTAAAGAACAACAAACGGTTAAATCAGCTAAGGATATTTTTGGCCATAATTCGATGAGTTTTTCAAAAAAATTATTGGGTAATTTAGATCATAATCGTGATTATAGTATGAAGCCATGGAATCATTGTAAAGATCCTCTTCATGTTAAAGATTGTCGTTGTGATTTTATGGATCGAAGCAAGATTTGTAACATATACACGGTTGAGTGTATTGAGAGACGTACTCATGCGTGTCGGGTTATTAATGGGCAAAAAATTGGACCTTGGGAGTTTGGAACCTATCGCTTTTTATCCGCACCAGCTAAATTTCTAGATATTAAGAAAGAAGATGATCAACAGATTGAAAATATCATTCGAGAAAATCTTACAACAGAAGATATATTAGCAGATCCGGTAAAGTTAGTGCCATAACATTTTTATCGATCATTCCAGGATTTAGATTATATTAATAACCGCTAAAAAGAAATTTTAAATAAATCTATGAGATGTTTCTGGTGGCCAGTAACTTTTTACTTTTATGGTAATGGTGGTGCAGGTAAATCTAATCTCATTCAAAAGTTAGTTTCCAACGAGTTATACTCGAAACCTAAGAAGCAGAAATCAGGGTCAAGTTGGTGGGATAGTTATGAGAAATATGAAATTGTTCTTTTTGATGAGTGGTATTCGGTACTTGATTAGAATGATATTGTTAAATATTTAAATTTTATTTTAAAATAAAATATTTAATTATATCAGAAAAATGTAAAAGAAAAAACAATACATTATTTTTGTG